AGAAGGGCACTTACAGATTGTCTATCATGTACTATACTATTTGAAGGCCAATCTTGGGAGAGGTATCTTATTCAAAAAAAATTCAAAACTGGTTCAAGAGGCATATACAGATGCTGATTATGCAGATTTGATAATTGATAGAAGATTCACCTTAAACTACAACACTTTCTTATGTGGTAATCTTGTAACTTGAAAGAGTAAAAATTAGAATATGATGACCAGATCAAGTGTTGAAGCAAAGTTTAAAGTAATCGCTCAAGAAATTTGTGAACTATTATGGTTAAAAATTATCCTAGAAGATTTAAAAATCAGGTGGGGTGGACCAAAGAGACATTACTATGATCTGCAATAAGCATTGCACACAATCATGTGCAACATGACATGATAAAACACATTGAAGTGGATTGACACTTCATAAAAGAGAAACTAGACAATTTGTTGATGTGTACACCGTATGTATCAACCATGGGTCAATTTATAGATTTGTTGACTAAAAGTCTTAGCAGTAAACATTTCAGGAAATCGTTTCCAAGTTAGGAATGGAAAACATCTATTCACTAACTTGAGGAAGAGTGTGGGAAAACACTTAGTTACAGCTAGTTATAATCCGTATATTTATATTTGTATCCCTAGAATTAAGGATAAAAAATTAAGATAAATAATCCCTCAATTATGGGGATTAGTTTTAAGAAGATTCAGTTTCTTAGTTTACCCTTTAGTTAGTTGTATATAAACTTACGATGCTTGTATAATTCTTGAGAGAAGTTTTTCAATATTCATCCAATTTTACTCTTAGTTTTTTCCACATGGTTTTACTTTTAGTTTTTTCCACAATAGGGAATAAATCCGATCCGATAAGGATCCTCGATAAAAATAAAGATTTCATGATTTTGGGTCCTCTGTTGTGAACCTTACTGATTCAATGACAAGAACGATTCTATCGCCAAAGGATTTATCACCAAATGAATTCAATTTGAATCTTTAAAGATTATCTCAAAAATTTTTTTAAAAAAAAATTTTTTGAGCTAGATGAGAAGCGAAAAATGAAAATAAAAGTAAAAGTAAAATATTAAAAAAAAAACTAAATTGAATTTAAGACTACAAAAAACTTAAAAACCAAAGCCCAAAATAATTCAAAATAGTAACCCAACTAAAGTGAAAACTAGATTCCATTAATCGAAATGAATCCTTCGAAGCTTGAGAATAGTTTAGACTTGAATTTTTGATAAAATAGAGTGTGCACACATCATTATCTCGGTAAAAATAGTCTTACTAGAATGAAGCCTTATGATAACGCCTCCTAACCTAAACTTCCAATTACATCACCATACATCACCATATTTACTAGTTAATTACTTATCATCTTAGGTTGAAGTTCTGCCCCATAGATTTAAATTCTTATGGTAAAGAGGTTGATTTTCATTAAGAACAATGATATCGCCCCTTTTTTTCCCAATAGGATGAGAGATAGTTTAACCGTTAGAATTTGATTTTTTACATGTTTCAAGCTTTTTTAGCATTTGAGATTATCAAAATTTGAATAATGATCATTAGAATTAAATATCTAACATTATACTAATAAATTACATGGCTTATTGGCATCTTTTTTATTGGATGAGATTTCAAGTTTAAATCGAGAAAAAAAAAATAGGTGGGGATTTAGGGAATTAAAAATAGGCCTGGATTTAGTTCTTTTATTAGTTCAATTAGGTACGTAGGTAGTTTTAGATAATTTACTCTAATTTTGATGAATGTAAGTCTATGCATTTATTAAGTACAATTCATAACATTATTAAACTTTTATCTTTTAACTTGAATGATGTAACATTTTCGTGATAATCTAAATGTTAAAGTGGACCAATTTTTTTTATTGCATGTGGTGCCGGTAGAATGTTCAACTATTACTTTTAGTAATTAGAATTCAAATTTTAACAATTTTAAATACAAAAAAAAATCATAATATTTTATTTTAATAAATAAATTAATATTTTTGAAAGGGTACTTCCAAATGCAACATTGGTTTTTTTTTTCTTTACATCTATTTTTTTTTATTTTTGAAGTTAAATTACTTAATTATTGTTTCTAAGAAGTTTCTGAATGTCCATATCAAGTAAATTTTATAATTTACAGAAAATGAATTTTTAAAAAGCTATATAACTTATAGTAAGTTATATAACTTTCTAAAAATTGATTTTTGAAAAGTAAGAAAAATGAAACTTTAAAAAAAATTACAAAAAGAATTATTATAAATTTTTATTAATTGATATAATGGAAAAAGTTATTAATAAAAAATCATAAAATTTAAAATTAATAAAAAGAAAATTAATTTTACTATTTTGATTTTAAAGAAGAAAATTCTTATGAGGTTCTAATTAAACAAAGGATAAAATAATAAATATAATTTTTTATAAACATAAAATTTATCATTTTTTTTAATAAATATTATTTGTTGGTATTGATTATTAAACTTTTATAATAACTCTAATTAAATTAAGCTTCTTGTAGAAGTGTATCTATCTACTTATCACGATGAATTTCTTTAATTAACATATTAGATTTTGACAAAATCGTATAGCATTCAATAGTATTACGTGTACAATTTTTAAGAATTTCATATTTTAGATATTGATCAAACATGATAATTTTGTCATTATCTCTCGTAACTTTAAGAGACGAAATGTTTAATTAGAATCTCTTAAAATTTTATTCTATCTCTAAAGTTAAAATAGTCAAATTAACTTTTTTTAATTAATTTTAAAATTTATGATTTTTCCAAAAATAATTTTTAATTACATCAATTAATAAAAAATTTTAATAAAACCTCCTTTTGTGATTTTCTTTAAAAAGTTTGAAAACTTTTTTTCTAAAATGAATTTTCGGAAAGTTAGATAACTAAATAATAAATATATATTTTATAATAAATATATATTTGTAACAATTCAATTTTTATTTTTTAATTATTATTTTTATTCATTTTATAATTATAACTAAATATTTTAAAATTACATACTTAATCTACCATATCATTTTTTTTCTTTTGAAAATTGAAATATTAATACATTTGAATATTTGCAATGTTGTATTAACTAATTGACTCGTGAAACAAAAACTTAAAAAAAAAAATTATAAATATTTGCAACATTTGATATTTATATCAAGTATATATTAGATATAAAGATAGATTTATCTATACTCGTTTGCCAACGTCATATTCAAATAATCTTCATATTTAAGAATTTTAAGAGTTTTCGAACAATTTTAAGAAATCCATAATTATATCTAACTCAAGAATTTATTTAGAAAAATTATATTTTTAATCAAAGTCTCTTATTTGGATTTTTAAATAATTAATTTATTATACATTTTTAATATATTTTTATCAATTTTAATTTTTATAAATAATTAAATAAGTTATCATAACGATAATAGAAAAATTATTAAAGAACATAAAAATGATTTAATAAAAATCATCAAGATTCATTTTTTTTTAACTTAGTTTGGGGTTAATTTTGAACTTGCTTGTCTAGTTAATCACTTAATTGGATGATACTTGGGCCAAGCTTAATTTTTAGGGGCGAGATGGATAGAAATAGGAAATATGAGATTTTAGGGTTTTATTTTTAAAGTAGCACAAGCAAATTTTCAACCTATTTACTTCTCTTCAAAATCAACAAAAGTAATTCAATTATTGATCATCCCATAAAACACCTGACATCTAAGAAAATATTTATGATTCGTAGGACAAAGTGATTAGTTTGTTATATAGGACATATGTTCACCTCTAATTTTTTTCGATTCTTTTAATTGTATGATAAATGTTATAAATTTGGTTCGATCATGTAATGTTTTAAATGGGCCGTTTAAAGGGAAGTTGGGTTTTACTACACAATGCAAATGCTCGCCCATCCCATGTCTAAAATGGCTGAGGCCTTTGTTTGATCATATGATTTTGCTTGCTCCTTCAACGTATTGCCCTTACGGATCGAGAGGGTTTGATTGTAGATTTTATGGATCGAGGATTATTTATTATGATTATTTTTTATATATAATTTATAATTATTTATTTTAAGTTATCAATACGATACATCATATTTTAATTTTAAAAATTATACAATTTAGTTACTTTTAAATTTTTTTTACAAAAAAAAATGATGTAGGTAAATGATTCTATTAATAAATAATATATTTTTATTTAATTTTAATATTAAAATACATCATAAAATTATTAAATTAAAATAATATTTTATTAGTAGGCTCAGTCTTGGCTTTTAAAAGGATAAATCTAATAGGTCAAGCTCATAAATATTTTTATATATGTATATATGTATTTAATAAGAATTAATATTTGATATTTACTAAGTATTGAGATTTCATTGAAACTAAGTTTGCTTTCAAAAAAGTTTCAAATAAAAGAAAATGTTTGTTTTCAAAAAAAGTAGTAATTGCATAGACATGAATTTATAAAACCAAATAAAATTTACAAAAATTAATCACTTTTTAAAATAGAGGTCTTCATTAAGAGCTCGGCCATGCCATCCATGTAGACCTGATTTTATTTTGAAAATATTATTAAAATATTAAAAATATTTTTATATTAATATTTTAAAAAATAATTTAAAATTAAATTAAATAAAAGATAATTTTTTATTGATAAAAAATGTCTTGGGTCAGATTTGAACTTCAAAATCTCGTCCAAAGCTTAATTTAATTTGGGCTAGGCTTGCGGGCTGCCTATCCATGAATAAATATACTTTAAAAGCCCCAATTAACCTAAATTTTATAATAACCATGGATTACGATTTTTTAATTAAAATTTCAAATTCCAATCATGACATTGCATCTTTTACACACACACATAAAGAAAAAAGAAAGCAGTTGATGAATATAACCAATAGTATAAACAAAATTTTCACATTGATAACCAATGAAATGTAAACTTTTATATATACCAAATACTATTCAATAGTACTATTAATTGTTGGTTTGGTGTAATAATTAATTACTAACATAAGCAAACTTATGTATATGATATGAAATAAAAAAAAATTAAGGACAGAAACATAGTTATATTAATAATTAACTGAGGAAATACACTACCTAGTGATATTACTTATAATTAAATTCTAATTATATATATTTACAATAAGTTAATGGGTCATAATCATAATCACCATCATTGTAATCAACGCCATCTGGGTCAGGTAGAACTGTGGGTATATAGTAATATATGTGAGGAAAAAGTAATAAAAAAAGGCAGCCACGAAAGCAAGCAAACTCAAGCAAGCGTAATCCAATCTAGTATGACCATAGAGACTCAGCCATATTGGCCTGATCAAGCGTGTCCATGCAAAAAAAGGACTTGGACTGAGAAGGCATGAACTTGGAAGAAGCAGCAGGTGGTGGTGGTGGCAAGTTCTCAGGGGAGCTGGGGCCTGGATTTGATGACGTTGAAACGAATTGGCGCATTCTCATGTGAACAACCTCGGCTTGAGCAAGTGCCAATTGGGTTTGCAGAGAATCGATTTGTTGTTGCAGTGATGAAATTGCTCCAACGCATCCGTACACAGGGTCACGAACCCTGGCGTTTGCTTCATACACCATTGAACTCACTGCATCACTTCGTTGGTGCTCTGGCAATTCCTGCAAAATTTGTTATGAAATCCAACATATTCAATCATCATCGCAGGTTCTTTATCTTTAAAATTTTCTCTCTTATATTGGATCTTGAGTGGATTTTCCACTTTGGGTCAGTTTCTTTCCATGGAAGGAGGGGTAATTGCATGATTTTCAAAAGAATTAATAATAAATCATATAGGCTGAAAACTTTATATAGAGATCACACTGTTGGTTGGCACGTTTGGCATCTTTTGTTGGGTCAAAAAGTTTATTTGAGAATATACAAAATGTTGTTGCTTGCTGTGGTTAAATCTAAATCATCATATTATACTTCCATGTTTGCTGTTGTGCAATGGGTGTTGAGTGTTGACCCAAAGAAATTGAGTATAGAACTAGAAATTTAGCTTCTAGGCCTCTAGATTACTACTTAACTTTGAAGGTATACATGAAATAATATTTGTTTTTTAATGAGTTGATAATTTTACATCTTTCATTTTTTATTTTCCAATTATTATTCAAAAAATAAAAAAGCCATTTCTTATTAAAAGTTTGGTTTGAGGAAATATTTTTTATTTTTATTTTTTGTTTTCTAAAATACATTTAATTTAGTAAATGAAAATAAAAATTATTTTCCAAAGAAGAAAAATAAAAAATAAATAAAATATTTAATGATATGATGTTATTATTAATGACATCTAATTATAAATATAATATATATTTATTAATTAATAACATTAAAATGTATTCAAATATGATAAATTACAAAACACAAAGAAAAAAAAGTAATATATATTTTTTATTTTCATAATTGAAAATTTCTTTTTGTTTTTATATTTTCACCTATTTTCATTTTTTTTTAAAAAAAATATTTTTATTTTCAATACTAAATACGTTTTCACTTATAATTTTTATTTTTTAACAAAATAAACACAAAAAATAACTTTATATTCTGAAATCAAACATTAACTTTCATAAATTTTTTCTTCCTTTTACATATGCTAATAAAATTACATAGTATAACTTAATTTATTTTACTCTTTCTAATATACCTTGAAAATATATACATATTTTTTTAATTGGGAGAGAAGGAATCTTCCTCTACTCTTTGATCGGAAAACATCAACACATAATATTGTGTCAAATGCTCTAAGAGAGAAGGATTCATCCTCTGACACTTTGAGCAGGAAATACATACACATTTGATAACTATTCAAGCATGTCTTTGCGATCTTTGTATTTTCTTCTTAATTTACTCTTTCTTAGTTTTTTTCACGTAATTTTCATAGTTTCGATTAACATATGCTTTTAGGCATTGATAAAGGATTTTTTTTTTTTTTTTTGCATCTAATGTATTATTTTTATTAAATTTGCAGTGTTTTTCTCTTAAATAACACCTTAACCAGCACCGGTAGACACAGGTTAACATTTTTCTTTTATATAATTTTTGTATTTGTATAAAAAGATGAGGAGGGTCCCTGTTTATTAGTGTCATCTTTCAGACATCATATTGTGCAATAAAATGACCTCTTAAATATTGATTTAAAATGGATAGGAAATTCAATTTTTGTTTGCTTATAACAATATATCACACCATTTTACAACCTAATTTGATCCCTATCACTATCAATGTAAACCATTAATGTTGTTAAAGCATAAAGCATGAGTGATCCAGCCACAAACTTTCTATCCAAAAATCAACAATAATAATAATAATGTGAAGATATTCAATTTCGTGATCAAAAAGCTTTAATTGGGTTATAATATGTTAAAGCTTCTAAGTGGTCAAAAAGCTTTAAACATGTGTTCACATGAAAATTGGTTTCCTAAAAAGTTAAAGGGCAAAGTTGTAGTAATTATTCCTTTTTCATTTGCTTAGGAATCCTTTGATATAAAGCATTAATTTATACTATTGAGAAGGAGAATAAGAATAACAGTCAACCACAAAGACTACTTGATCAACTGTAATTAACCACCCCCTATAACAGACAAAAAAGTTGAACAAAGAGGCAGAGGCAAGAGGACCACTTTTCTTTTTTGCTTTTTATATATGCTTTTCTTTTTATTTTTTTATAAGATAATTGACTTCTTCAAGTTTTAATGTATTTCTTCCCTGAAATGGCAACCTAAAGAAACCCTAGCTACTACTATTCCACAACCCAGCTTTTAATAATTTCACCCTCCCAAGGTCTATTTTAACAAGAAAAAAAAGGCTTAATTTCTCTTATGTTGAATTTTTTTTTTCAAAATTCACTAGACAAAAAGAAATGAGTACATAATTTTTCAACACATTATTAGAAGGAAACATAAGATCAGTTAAAGGTTTACCCCGTTGTTTCCTAAAAATACCGTTCTTCTCAAGTACTTTGTTTTGCAGCAAGAATGACCCACATATCTAATGCTTAATTACTTTCTTTTTGGAAAGATGATGAAGATGCTTTTTCTTTCTTCTTTGCTTTCCCATTCTTTTTCACCATCTTTCGGCCCTCAATAACAGTGAACAAAACCCTTTTTTCCCCATCATGGTGCTTATGCATGGCTGCAATTTTGTTCTAAAAGCCTAAAAACAACATCCTCAAGAACGAAAATTTCACTATGTGACCAAATGTTGGATAACCTTTTTGAGTTGTCTCTTTAATCTCTTTATTTTTAAGCGTTTTTACATTCCAAGAAAAGAACGAAAGAACATATAACATAAATAATTTAAATAACAGGAAACATCCCAAGTTATTTCAACAATTTATATGCAAATTAATGGAGAGAGGTTGTTGCATGGAAAAGGAATGAACCTGTAACATCTTGTTAACATTGCTAGCCCCAAAAACCTTATGGACACTGGCAAACTTTTGAGGCTCATCAGCTGGAAAATATGGAGCAAAAACACAGTCCTGAGCACATCTCCTTCTAAGTAACTTGCACGCCGCGCAAGGCGATAACGTGCCATGTTTCCTTCCGTTTTCCTTCATTCCTCTTCTTCTTCTCCTTCCTGGTAAGCCAAATGCAAACAAACCAACCCCAGAAGCTTTCCACAGTAATATGAAAGCTCAGTTTTAGGTTATTATTATTATTTCTAGCAATCGTACTATAGTAATTTAATCAATGACCAAAAATAAAAAGTGAACATAAAAAATGAAAGCCTAGTATTGAAATCTTTGGCTTAGAATTAAAAATCAGTGGAGCAGAAGTGAAATTATAAAGAATAAAAATGAAATTAATGTTTAAGAAAACGAAAGGTTAAGAAGAAATTAAAGATGTGGGAAGGGGGGGCTTGAAAGGAGAAGGGGTTGGGTGTTATATAGAAATTGCTGTGTGACAGCAAATCTAGTGGGGGCCCGCAAAAGCGTAGCCCATAGATTTTGTTGGACAAAAACATCGTTTTTGATAAGATCTTTAGGCCCACCTTAATTTGATACCCTATCTTATTTTTTGTATTTTTAATCTTCAAGCAATCTATTAAGGGAGGGGGGGGGGGGAATTTTTCTTTTTCTTTTTTTTTTTTAATTTATAAAAAGCTAACCTAAACTTGATTGATAGCGAAAGCTTTGAGTGTAAACTCCATTAATTTGGGGTTTGTTTAGCCTATTAATTAGCAAGAAAATTTAGAATTTAAATTAGTTAATTCATACAATTATTGTTAAAATCCAAAACTTACACCAATTATTTTTTTATACTACAATATTTTTATATAAAAAAGTTTAAAAGGTTTCAATGAGATGTATCATTAATAAGATAGAAATAATAAAAAATAACCATGTATTTTTAATTCAATTTTATTATGTGAGAGTTCAATTTAATTTTATCTTATTTTATTTATATGTAAATGTTTGTTCAAATATCTAGTTTTGCATTTACTTTCTATTAAAGAAAATGTATCAAGGTAATTAATTAAAGCCCGATAGGATGGATTGATTGAGATGTATTCATTGGTATTAAATTTTTGTATCAAGTTGATGACATATATAATTGTCCCCAGCCCACTCCCCTCCCTCATTAATCCCTTTCATTTTTATTTCATAAGCAATTTTTTATATATTTTTTAGTTAAGATAGATTAAAATCTTGAAAGTTTCTCTTCAACGTAATATATATATATATATATATATATTTATATATAAAGGATTAATTTACACAATATAATTTGATATATTTTTTAACTTTTGATTTTAATAAATTTAAGGGATAAGAGACATAAGTAAAAATAAAAATTTTAATTTAATTTCATCATTTAAATATATTAAAATAATGGTTAAAAAATATATAAAGCTTAAAAAATTTTATATTATATAAATTGATTTCTCCTTATATAAATAATATATATATATATGTGTGTGTGTACATATATATATATATATATTTATATATAAAAGAACCACAAAGCTTTAGCATCTAAGTTGCCAAAATGTAAGAAAATATAGGTCGTGAAAATATATAGGTTTATTAAAATTTGATTTCTTTATAATTTTTCTTGTTTTTATTATTTATTATTTATTACTTTTTATTAAAAAATAAAAATAAATAAAAAATACCAATCAAACGGAATACTATTCTCGCATTAATGCCTATAGTGGTACTTAAAAGATGACTCTATCATTAAGTTAACAATTTAAAAAGATCATATTGTCTGTTATTGAAGATCTATGATAAAAGTTTGAAGATTTTGTTTGTGGATCTCAAGTTTAAATATTGAAAAATATAAAAAAAGAGTTATGACTTAAGAAAAAGTTGCCTCGCCTTATATACAATTATTTATACAGAGCTTAATCTCAATAGACTTTGATATGTATATAAAACAAATCTTGAAAAATGTAAAATTAGATTTAGAATGCAGTTACAATAAGAACAAACAAAAAACGATTGAATTTTATATAATGGTTCAATCAAAATATCTATACATTTATACTTTATATTAAAATCATTTTCAGAAGGATTCATTTGTTGTCACATGATAATTGTTAAGATTGCCATAGTTATGATATTACTTATTAGGTAAAAATTCAATCAATTGAACATTCATCCTAGTGAAAGCGAAATTAAACAATTAATCAATTACATAAGAGATTGTAATTTAATATAGTTCGACCCAATAGATATACGATATATGTCCATAAATGATAAAAAAGATCCATTAATTATAAAGAATTATAAACATATAAATTATATCAACTACTCAATAATTAATACCTATAAACTCTCTCAATCTCTTTTAATCCTATGGAGTATTTTCAATCCAAATAAGCACATACTCATTTGCACCCATACACTATTTCTATGTGGACTATCTCATTTTACTCTAATCTACTCAAACAGACACTCCCATAAAAGATGTTAATCTCATGTAGTTCTGTGGGGTGTATATCCCTATAAAACCATATAACTCTCTTACATATTTTTTTCATACCTAACTTATAAAGACCCCACCTATTTATAAGCATATAAACTTGCATAACAATAACTTTTTCCTTTTAAAATTCTTTTCTTGTAAGTCTTCTTATTTTTCAAGCAATATTTTGCCAATCTGAAATAAATCTTTTATGGAATTTAAGTCACTATTCCTAACAATTTTCATCTGACTCAAATTCCATCGAATCATCATTTTTTATGCTACATACACTTGGTTCCATTTGTAATGGAAGTCTTGTAACAATATCTTCTTATGTTTTCATACTTAACGTAAATCAATCTATCAAAATATGAACTTGAACTCCTTTCTTAAATCGAGTTCTTCTAGGCTTACCTCTTTCCAAATCATGAACTTTCAACTTTAATACCACTTATTAGGATCATGACAGTTTTGATACCACTTGTTAAGATTATACAGCTTTGATACCACTTGTTAGGTAAAAAGCCTAATCAATTGAATCATGCTAGTAGAAGTGAAACTAAACAATCAACCAACTACACAAGAGATAGTAATTTAACATTGTTTGGCCAAATCAAGTTGCATTCACGGATAAAAGAAAAGATCTTCTAGTTTTAGAGAATTACAAACATACAATTCATATCAATCACTCAACAATTAATTCTCATAGACTTTCTCAATCTCCTCTATTCTTATTAGGTATTCTGAACCCAAATGAACACAGACCCATGTGTATCTATATACCATATCTATCTGAACTATCTCATTCTTTTCTAATCTACTCAAATATTTACTCCCATAAAGATGTTAATTTTCTGTAGTCCTATAGGATGTTTATCTCATAAAACCTCATAACTTTCTTACATTTTTTTTCTCATACCTAATCCTATGAAGGATCCATCTATTTATAAATATACAAACTTACTTATTAAGAATTTTTTTTTCCTTAAAATTCTTTTCCTACAAGTTTTTTTATCCTTCAAGCAATATTTTATTAATCTAAAATAATTTTGTTATGAGATTTGAGTCACTATTTTTAACAACAATCATGAACAATTTTTTTAGATTATGTTAATTAATTTTTTATTTTAAATTACATGAATTTAATGATTCATGGTTTTAATTAAATTAATTATGAATGAATGTACTTAATGTTTAGCACCATTTAAGTTTAATATTTAGAGTGCAGATTCATTTTTATTAAGTAGTGTAAATATTCATGAATTAGATGTAGATTACTCTTTAATTTTAGTATATGCTAATTTGTTGTGTTCATTTAAAAATTTCAAACATAAATAACAATTATGATTGTATTTTTTATATATTTAAAAGTTCTATTCAATTTGATATATATATATATATATATATATTATGTTTCAACATTTTATAGAAACATAAAATGTTACCAACAATTATGTGATTTATTAGTAAAGTGTTGAAATCTAAGACTTTACTTGATAAGAAGGATGAAAAAACATGAAGATGACAAACTTGTTAATTTAATGACTAAAATTCATAATCATTTTTCTATTGTTTAGCTTAAATATTATATTAATAAAATTTCCATCATTACATTTTTTTCATTCTCTCTACCAAACAAAGTTGACAGCAATAGTGTTCAAATCTTATTAACCTGAAATACCAAAAAAAAGTATAAATTGTTGGTTTTGAATCATTAGAAGTTAAGATTTTATTTTTAATTTATACATCAAAAGTTTGAATTTATTAAATAAATTTATTGACATTATTTACTATATTTTATACTCAAACTTAAAGCATTTAAATTCTTTTACGAAAAGAAATGTCACCAAAGTGTGTCATCTTTGTATGAAATTCAATCTCCATCCAGATGAACATATTCTTTTGGTTTAATTTTATTATTATAATTATTATTGGGGTTGAGTTTTGTGTTTTCGTGGGCGTGTAGGATTATGAACGAAATCTGATAATCTAATTTTTTTTATGCCGTTGATCTTTGACCAATTATATATCCAATTACTTAATTTAATAAGTAATTTTATGTATGTTTTAACGTTGAATTCATTACGAATCTTCAACAGTTAAAATGTTAAAATCGTCATGCACGTATGTAAACTTCAAAAATTAACGTGCACTTAATTTTTTTTTTGCTAGGTTTGTTGAATGTCTCTAAACAAAAAAAAGAAAAGTCAAATGTATTTGATTTAATGAAAGATACGCTATGAAAAATATTTTTGCGAAATATCAGTTATCATATATCAGTATAACTTTCTAATAAGAATTCCATAATTTATTATAACTATATTACTAATTAAAATATTATTATCTTATATTTTAATTCAATGGTACAATTTTAAAACAATAATATTTCTTTTCGAGTAGGGATCAAATTACAATTGCGTAATATATATATATATATATATATATTTATTTATTTATGTTCCTTAGATCAGAAGTATTAAATTTAAAAATATTATTTTGATTTAAATGAGTTATGAATTTAATTTTGATTCAAAAATTAAAAGAAATGTAAGAATTACACTAATGAATCTTTCCTTCTTTCTTATATTTTTAAAGAAAATATATTATTATTTTTGACATTAAATCTAGTCAATAATTAATTATATCGTGAAATATTAATTATGAATGCTTGTTATTTAATGATGTTTTAAAACTAACATGATATATTTATTTATATAATTACACATCAAATTTTAAATGAAAGATATATATGTTATATTGAGTATCTTTTCATAAATTCTTTAGGATCAAGTTAATTGCATATGTTAACTTATTATTCATAATTTTTTTTTGAAACTAAACTCATAATCGAACTCATAATTAAGAATTACGTTCATATAATTAGCTATTATATCACTAAATAATTAATTAATAAACTATAATTTAA